ATGAGCCCAGCCAGTTTAGTACCTGTGACACTACTAATAGAGGGGAGTCTGTGCTTGGCTCATTTGATGGCTCCTTTCTGCCTCTGCTGCCACAGAAAGATCAGAAAAAAACCAGAGGGTTGCTGACTCTGTGCACCCTTCCCCTGCCCCACATAATAGAATCTGCAAAGCAAAAATAAGGTCAGACACTTGCAAATTGCTGCAATAGGAGAGCTGGGAGATCATTTTATATCTAGTTCTAGAAATGGCTAAAAATAAGCCTGATGGGAGGCAGAAGACAGAGCCTGAAAATGGATTATTCTCATTTTTCCTGTAATGTAATTTGCAGATGTGCCATGTTTAAGGCAGCAGAAAAGGTGTAGGGACTGGGGGTTGTTCTTTTTGTGCCTTGCACTGTCTGGGCTGTAATAAAGGTTTCCTTTCCTGTGTCTGTACCCACCACTTTTAAAAGGAAATGTTGATCAGCACTGCTGCTCAGCCAGAGCTTCACCTGATCAAAGGTATTAAAGAGCAATTTTTTTCTTATTAAACGTTTAACTTTGATTTTAGGAGAGAAGCCTGCTAGAGCTGTTTAAATAACCTGATTCTTGTGATGCAAAGAACTGGGGGAACCATTTGTGCTCTCTCCAAAGGGCTGAGTGGCAGCTGGTTAAATACTTGCATTTTGTCCTGCCCAGCTGCATCAGTGCAGCTCTTTATTCCTCCTGGTGTCTGCACCAGGGACACCCACTGACTGCAGCTGCATCCTGCTGCCTGATCTGCACTGCTCTTATCTTTGGTGAAAATATCCAGGATATATCATGGAAGATGCAGAGAGGGACTGAAAACTTGGGACATCAAGCCACAGCATCTTTCTGTACTGAAAGGATATGGGGGGAAAGCAGAAAATCTCAGACTTCCAGGTATAAAATCAGGGATTAAATAAAAAAAAAAGGATTTAAAAAAAATAAATTTTTTGAGGGATGAGTCTTCCACAGCTGCCCAGGGTAGTGTTTCTTAGGATAAATACAGGTGGGGTTGGGTTTTCCCTCAGCAGCAACTGGGAGTGACCATTGCTGGGGACAGGGCTGCAAAATCACCCTGTGCTGAGGGTCCTGCAGGGGCTGAGGAGGGTGTCTCAGCAAAGCTCCAGATGGTCAGCACTCCCCCTGACTGCCCAGGAAACAATCACCTTGCACACTAATGACATGACACTGACTGATGTGCTCTGGCACCTGAAAATTGTCCTTTTCATCACTGAAAGAGCAGATTCTTCCCTATCACTTCTAGCAAGTACCACTGTGGGTATTTCTTCTGTAGCTCTCTAGGGTGAAGTTTGGTTTTTTTTCAAGTTACCTGCATTCTGAGAGAGGAAGAGGACACAGACACAGACCACAGATGCAGCTCTCAGCAGTGCTGAGCTTTTCCTTCCAGCACGTGAAGTACCTGAAGTGCTCCTGACCTCTGCAAGCTGCCTTCTGGCTGGGATCTGCCAAGGCTGCACAGGGATGGAGCCAGAGAATCCAAGTCATCAGATTCCTGAGCTGGTTCTCTAGGGCTCTGCCATGATCACAGATCATCTCCCAGAGGGTCTCACAGGATGGCTTGGGTCTCACCCATTTTCATTAAGCAGGTGAGAGAAACACAGCCCAGAGTGCAGTTGTGCTTGGAAATAAAACAGGATGGTTTTAACCCTGCAGCACCACAGAGCAGGGAAGGAACATCAATATAGTCAAGAGCAGGAATTGCAGTGATTTAAAAAAAGAACTGAAGTATTTATTATGACTGGTGCATAAGAGCTCTTACAGAAACCCTTCTTAACCATTTTCTCTCTCTTATCATTTGGGAAGAGCAGGATTAAGTTTGTGTTATAAAAATTGCACCAAAAAAAGGATTGGATTATATGAAGGAGTGATGTGCTGTGTTGTGTTCCCTGCCAGTCCTGAGGTTGCTAAAAGTCTCTTGAAGCTGTCAAGGCTTCTGAAGCTGCATGAAAATAGTTCTAAAAGAATTGGTGACTTATTTATTAATTTTTTTAGAAAAAAAAAAAAGAGAATTGCTGTCTAAAGAAATGTTTCTCATGAGTGTTTTTTGTGAGAGGGGCAGCATTATTGACTGGAATTCCTGTGCTAAAAAAAGTCATCTGCAAAATATGCCAGGAATTGTGGCAATGAGGAAAGTGGTGTAAAAAGTCACGAGGCACTGAAAGCCTGGGAATTCTGTTTTTGAAAGGAAGTGTGGAGGAAGTTTTACAGGA